AGATAATTTTATTACCCTCCAACAACAACCCTACCACCTTAACACCCCGACCATAAACCAAATCTCCTCCACTACAAATTCATCCAATCCCCCTACACCCTCTTCAAATTATACTGAATCATTAACACCATCATCCACATCCACTATATCTTCACTAAACACTAATAGAGCTTACCGCACTTTTAAAAGAAAATTCCCCAACCATCCTTTCCCAGCAAAACCAGGAACAGCCCGTGAATACATCAACCACCCCCAGCATACTAACACTAAAGAATTTTTAGCTATCACTTTACCCTCGTTTCCACAATACACCTTAAATACCCCTCACGACGCTAACGAAACACGCAACTTTGTAGATGAATACGTTTTAATGCCCACTCTCTCTTGGACCTCATACTATCATTTCACTAACCCTCTTTGCTTACCTTTATCCAACACTTCCATCGATATAGAACGAAACAAAGACATGCTATATCAACTAACTACACCACTAACCGCTAGACAGTTTACTTACGTTGGATATAAAAAATCACTAAAAATACACACTGCACCTAGAGCTAACGAATATACACTCGAATACTATGATCACAACATCATCAGAGCTAACCAAGATCAATTCTTAGACGACGATCGCTTCGCTAATCCACAAATTACCGAGAAATTTTTCATCAAGACACCATATGTATTTACACTAAACATCTTCGACCGAAAGTTTGATCACATTATTTCAGAAGCACTAACAAACACACAAGCATACGAAAGTTTTAAAGAACGCTTCCAAATCTTTTCACTAACCTTTCATTTCCTTGCACCACACGAAAGAGATTTGCACTGCTCACATGATATTATGTTGCGCACTAAACAAACACATACATACAGTTACTATCGTTTCATCCAAAATCACTTTGACCTCCACACACCCTCTAGACAACCACACCATCGTTTTCAATTCATCAATTCAAAATACACTTCACCGTATTTCCTAAATTTCACATATTGTATTAAAGACACTAACCTCCATGGTATTCTTCGTAATTATGACCCCATAACCCAAATGTACATTTTCTGCCCCATCACCAAGACCTTCAACGCCGAAGAATCCCGACTCTTCCTTATCCCGCACGAGTTTGTACAGCCTATAGAAATCCCAATTTTAGAATTCATCCACAACACTAAATTCAATCACAAATTATATAATCTAATCCAAAACACACCTTATGAGTTTGCAGTTGGCACTGAAGAACTAACCACTATTAAGGCACTTCAATTGCTTTGGCCACTGCTTCAGACTAAAAATATCATCCGCATCTTAGCTAAACTACTAACAACTTCAGAACTAATTCACGACATCTTCCCCCACGGTTTTTTCCCCGACGACTAACAGGTAAGTATGAATTAAATGAATATTACTAACTAATTAAAATATTAAAAACTCACCATTCTTTATCCATGTTTTCTTTAGATTTTTAGCCTTCATCCGACAATCACCTACAAAAACCACAAAAGACAAATAAAAATCGCAAATTTCATCAAACAGATTTCAAAAATTCTATTAATCTTTTACACTTATAAATTTATAAATTTAATACCAATGCAGTAAATTCATTTCTAAAATTTTCCCCACAAGCAGTAAATTTAATTATGATGAAAATTTGTAACTTAAAATTCCCCCATAACTAGCAGTAAATTTCCAAATTCTATGCAGTAAATTAATAAAATGCAATTGCAGTACTAACCTTTTGATATTTTCATTCATTCGCACAGAAATTCTATCCACACTCGCACAGCTCGCCCACGAAGAATTGTTTAAAATAATGAATTTCAGTTTCAAGTTTTCACACTCAACAACTCTAACATATAATAACATGTTTCAAACTTTCCTTTAACCCGGTTGGAAAGGAATCATATACTAAACAAAACTAACCAACGCAGCTTACTAAATACCACAAATCATAGAATAACAGCATGACTAAGAAAAGGAAACCAACGGTACCCAAACCGGATTAACCCAGTTTAAAACTGGATAATTTATTCTTTTGAGGACTATTATAAAGTCTAAGAAAGAAATAATAAAACACAAAAAAGTCGAAAGACAAACCCATACCACAAACAATTTGCTTTTTGAAAAAAGGACACAACCAACAAAACATAAGAAAGACCACAACAAACCCAACATAAAACGTTGTCACATAACAGGACCCCTCACAAAAACCGCATGAAATCATACTCCCACTCCTGGCCTAACCCACCAGGAAGGACGTCCTGAGCATGCTCTATAGCCGGCCTAACCCACCGCGCTACATCCACGCTTTGTGACCACACCACTATTTTTAATAAGAGCTACTCAAGTGTGAGTAACTCTTCAAAATAACCGAACTAAAACAAAAAGCTTTTGTGAAAACAACTAACTAAAATCATAATTAAAAAATATTAAACTAATAAATGTTTTATAAAATGTAAATTACATTATGCAATACATAGATCAGAATACAACACCAAGGACGAACATCTAAAGACAAAACGACCCCACTACACTCGAGAGAGAATGACCAACCACAATCGATATGCCACCCACAATCACAACTCAAAGGATTTAGAGTACGACTTGACTTCGCAGAAAAGGACTTCATTGAACTAGACCAATGACCACCTCGATGTTCAAGTATACGTACAGATCCGAGTAACCAGGCATCCCCTCCACGCACTGATCTCCTGATCTCCACGCCATTCCCAAGTTAGATCAGACACAAAAGAAGTTCTCCACGAAGAACAGAAAAACCTGACATAGCCAACCATTCTGAAATCAGATTTGAGTTTGTTGCAAAGACTTAGTCGTTGTCACTAGAAGACACAACGTCTTATGTCTCTAACTCCAGCTTCCTGGAACTTCTTTAATAAAAAGGAAACAGAAGAAATAAGATGTTCGCCAAACACCAACGTCCATCATCCATCCTTCGAATTGCAGAAGAACTATTCTAAAAAACTCTGTAAAACCCGGATGGGTGGAACCTGATCTAAACTACATTTTATGATTGGATAATTTAGATATTTTACCAATGTAAAGTATTTAATATTAACCAATCATGATCCATCTAACTAACAACCCACTTATTTGTAAGTGCTGAAGTTACTTGTAATTTCAGCACCAGAGAGATTTGAATTTAACTTAGAAATTAGTTGGACTCTCCCGAGCACTTCAGCAGCCGCAATAAACCAGTATACCCTAGATCTATTGAGCCTAGCAGAGACTAGTTAAACAACCTGAGACTAGATAGTATAAGAGTAAGATTAGGATCGGTATTAGACTAAGAAGTTGCACGAATCTATCCGGCCGAAAATAAGATAGCGTGACGAGCAGACGGTGTACCCTATCCGAAATTACTCTATGAGTTATACACTCCAGTCCTAACTCAAAATAGTCTCGTACCCGGTTGCAACACCCTTGCTAATCGCAAGGAAAAATATTCTGGGTTTTGATTCTCACTTCAATCACGATCGAACATTTCAAATCTCTTTTAAATTTTGAAACGGTTTGCTTGAAAACTTTCGTGGAAAAAGTTCGTATTATCGATGTGCAAAAAAGACGTAAGCATGACATTAAAATAGCACGAAAATCAGTATTTTGTCGAGCTCGCACACTGAAGGCAAGAACTCTTTTTAAGTGAAGATTTAAAACAAAAGTCATTAAAAATTATGTGAGCAATTAGAAAAGCTTCGTGAAAAATGGTGTCTTATATTTCAAATCCACGTTATTCAACTCCCTATTTTTACTCCCGTTTTTTCTTACCCAGTAAAAAAAATAACCCCACCACATTTTGACTCCCTTTGAGACCGATAATTGAATTCATATTAAGTGACTTTTTCAACCATAGTAAATTTCCAGTTAAGTATACTAATTGAGGCCAAATGAACTATTCTTAATTCACTTCATGCTTTTAACCGCTCCAAAAAATTGCATTTGGATTAAAAAAAATACAAATAATCGTTCATTCACGGGTTTAAAACAGAACATAGATGATGCTAATTCGAAGCAACTTGGACGTTCGTGTACTTTATTCAAGCTGCCCTACACGTTAACCGTTTCAGAACCATCGTGCTATAATGTTCGAAGTCTCCTGTATTTTTGATTTTAACATCGACAGCAATATAAGAAGGTCAAAAAATTTTTTGAAACCAGGGCTTGAAATTCCTACAGGAACACCCGATGCTCGATTAGTTTCAAAAATCATCAAGGATCTGTGCAATAGTGTTATCCAAACCATCGCAGCCTTCACCGCAATTCAGCCAATAACAGACGACATTGCCACCCAACTAGCCCTCCCAACATAGAAAAACTTAGTTCGGTCTGCACAACGCAAGCGCAGGCAATGTGAACAGGATTTAAAAACTTCCCCAGCAACAAAAAATCTCGAAAAACGCGAACTATTCAAAAACTTCAAGGTTTTACAGTTGAGAACATAAACAACGATAAAAATTTTTTTATTCAGTGACCCCGGAAGACTCGCAAAAAAAAACACAGACTCGCAAAAAAACCTCCCAAGTTGATGAGATAAGCACTTGATAATTTGGATCAAACTAAAATTTGAAGTCTCGGTTAATTACAACCGCATTTTTGCAAGTAGCAAGCACACTCGCATGCCAATCTGAGCTTCCCAGATCTAAAGTTTCTTTGTAAAATTGGCCTGAATATATAAAAAAGTATCAAACATATTTATTCCTCACTTTCTTCAAATAGTAAGAAAAATGAGTTCTATGGCAATAAAGAACTAGAAAATTGAGTTAGATCCAATTTTATTACTTTCTGTAAGCAAATTAACGAGCGCAATAAAATTAACTGCGTACGTACATATCGCATCTTTAATACAAGCCTAACAAATACGTGGTGAAGGTGTAAAGAGACCAAGAAATGGGGTCTAGCATAAAAGTCTCAAGATCGATTACTTTATTTGCTGAAGAGGTGAGTTTGTTCACTGGATCCAGTATTTCAACTATTTGCTCACCCGTTGCAGGCAGCTTTGCATCCCTCTTCAAACTCCTCGTGTCTCAAAATCTGAAAAAAATAAGAGCTTCCTGCAATTTATGACACTGCAGAGCTGCATGCAGAGGTGGAGTTGAGCATCGCAACACCTGCGATGAAAAAAAATCACGACTCTTGTTTTACTTTTTCATTAAAAAAACTACAGAAAAAGTTGTTCTGTTTTTTCTTAAATTAAGTGTCGTTTTTTTGTGTGGTTGGTGTGATGAGAAAAGTATACGAACGCGTGTAAAAATAGAAAATTACTTTTTAAACTTTTTGCGCAATCTTTTAAATATTTTTTCAGAAAACATTTATTGGCAAGGAAGCTTTAAATGAAGCGTCTACAACAGGTTTTACTTTTAGTAAAATTAAGTCTTTTAGCTGAATTGACCATTTTATTAATTTTAATGTAACGAACGTTATTCGATCGCGTTACTCGCTCGAAATTAGTCATATTCTGAAACCATTTATTTGACTTACTTCATGAATTTTACATAAAGAACGTTCGATGCGTTGCTAGCTCGAAATTAGACTAAACTTCAAACCAATTTTTCTCGATAATGGAACCATTTTTTAATTTAATGTCCGAATCACGACTGATAGGGCTATATTATGAAATATCACTCGAACCATTCAAATAATTATTTGTGATAACAGATTTTGCGTCAAAAAGAAAAAAAAACTAAAACACACCCGAATACAAATTTCCTTCCTATTTTCAAAGTCGGAACATCAAAAAACAAACCGAAAAAAATCTAGCAGTTAAATTAGCAAAAATCAGCACGCTTGAAACCAAGACAACGACCAGAAACACTGAAGCCGATAAATTTCATTTAAATATTTATCAACATCAAAAACAAGCCAAGGCTGCTACTAAGCCGACACATATTTGCGCTAAAGCAGGAAAACCGACAACTGTTGAATTTAAAAAATAATTTGGTCAATATAAATCAAAATTTCAAAACCTTGAAAGAAGCTGAATAGATCAACAATCTAAAAGGGAAGGCAGATATGAAAAGCAAACCGGAAAAACAGAGGCACAAACCTTAAAGCTCGCACAGGCCCATTATATCGCACAGGCCCATTGCATTACTTGACCAAAAAATTCACAAGACAGACATTGGGCAAAGAAAGAACCCTACCTGCACTTGCTGCACTTGAAGTTTTAATAAATTCGTTCATGCTGATTGATTTTGAGCTCGTTAAATACAGAAAAAGCTGAAAAAACTAAAAATTTAAAACCGGGGTTTAACACTAAAAACAATCATCACAGAGGCACTTGTGTCACGACACACACATGGCATGACAGACCAGCTGACAAAAAAGAAGACGAAGGTCGCTTAGTCTCAAAAAAATTGAAACGTCAAAAAAACTAGATGAACCGAAATTTTCATATATTTGTCTCGAATTGTCTTCAATGAAGTTCAAAAGTAACGAGACAGAAACGAAATTTTTAAGGATGTGTCGAGTCATTAGTCAATACTCGAATTCTTCTTTGGCTACCCACGAATTTCGTGTAGTCAAATGTTAGAGTGTTCACAATTAAATTCAAAAAACGACATTAACTGCATGAGAATTAATGATCTTTAACATCCTCTAGGAACTTTTTTTACTTTCCCTGAGTGCTACTAGCGCAAGTTTTACGGCAGGTCTAGTTATTTTACCTAGCTCTATTTTTAACACGCACGAACGAACTCTGCCGTCGAGGCCGGTGGAAGTCTCGATAAACCACCAGATTCCACGCGGAATAAAGTCAATATTGATACGAAGTATCTAGTTAATCTCTGACTGTGACCATTTGGTGGACCGGATACATGTTTGGGCCTATTCTTTCAGCCTTCGGCGCCAGACGCAATGCATCTTTTCCTTCAGAAACTTCCAAGATTTTGAGGACAGCTTGCTGATTGGTTGATCACTGAAGGCCACTGGTGGTGTGTAGACAACTGTTTTGGCGTCAACGGAGGTTCGTCCGTGAGATCGCAGTTGACATGTGTTAATGGCCGTCAATTCAAAAGACCTTCCCAAAATTCGGAACGAAAACTCGTTCAATCATCTGAACGAGTCTCTCCCACTTACCACCAAATTGACTGGCAGAATGAAGGTTCATATTACAACCTATAATTTGATCCTGTTAATAGCTTGCTTTCTCTTCCGAATGAAACTAGCTCTGAACTAAACAGCTTGCTTGCTCCGATAAAACTTGCAGTGTTGTCCGAGAGTAGTTATTGCTGTGAGCCTCGACGTGCTATAAATCTGCGAAAAGATGTCACGCAACCGCCCGTTGCGGGGTTTTCTCTAGTTTTCAAATGTATAGCACGAGTTGTGAAGCACGTGAACAAGCAGATATAGTCCTTCGTCGTTGATGAATTTTCAGCAATCGGAAAAGATCAAATGTAGTCAATGCAGGCATCTAGGTCTTGAAAGCGAGTGGCAGGAAGTACTGACCTGAAGCTACTAAGCCCATTTTCCCTGAAATCGCCTGCAGAATCAGCGATGGCGAATTTGTTTCAGAGCCTGGTGGAAACCAATAATGAGAAAGTTCTAATGGAAGATTTCTCTCCGCGTGGCATCTGACCACTCGGACGAATTATCGAGACCTTCACCGGGCCTGACGATACAGGGCGTTCGAGCGTGATAAAAATAGCGGTAAAAGACAACTCGACCCGCCGTAAAACTTGCGAGGGACAACAATAAAGGCTCCTTCAAGGATGTTAAGGATCATTAACTGTCAAGATATTAATGTCAATTTTGTGATTTCTGAATTTCTTAAATGTATTTGTGAACACTCTCTAACAATTGACTGTGAGCTATAGTTGGGTAACCAAAGAGGTGAAGCCAATGTAATCGAGAGATTGAATAATAACTCGACATAAAAATAACACGGAGAAGCGGAGCGAGGCTCCGCATCATTTGCGATACAACAAAAGCTTAGCACTGCCAACTAGACATTAAGATGCAAATAACTAAAACGAAAAAAAAAACGTGGAAATACAAAAAACCAACAACTTTTTTGGAAAAACGAAACAAATAAATCTCACAGTAAACGGCGAGAAAAACAAGCTTTCAAAAAGTTCCGAGAGTTCACTAAAACAACAACAAAAAGTTGATAGGTATCAATTGATGCGAAAATAAAAAAAGGCAATTTTAAGTGTTGTCTTCAAAAACACCTGAAAAATATCAACCACTTTTCTGGAAAAACGGAAAATTCAAATTCAGAAAAACAGACGAAAAATACAGCCACTAGTATTAAACAAGCTTCCAGTTTTTTGTGACCGCTGACTAAGCCGACACCACATGATTAGACGCCAATTGACCCGAAAACATAAACTTTTTGAGCGATTAAAAAGATTGAACTTGAAGTTCTATACCACCAACCGACCTAATTTATTCAAATGAGAACAATCATTTTTTATTCCTGAACCGATGAAAAATAAGTCACTATAACGACAAACACTAGAATTAAACAAGCTTCCAGTTTTTTCCGAGCGCTGACTAAGCCGACATCACGTGGTTAGACGCCAATTGATCCGAAAACATAAATTTTTGAGCGATTAAAAAGATTGAACTTGAATTTCTATACCACCAACCGACCTAATTTATTCAAATGAGAACAATCATTTTTTATTCCTGAACCGATGAAAAATTAGTTCACTATAACGACACAAAGACTAGAATTAAACAAGCTTTCAGTTTTTTCCGAGCGCTGACTAAGCGACATCACGTGGTTAGACGCCAATTGATCCGAAAACATAAATTTTTGAGCGATTAAAAAGATTGAACTTGAAGTTCTATACCACCAACCGACCTAATTTATTCAAATTAGAACAATCATTATTTATTCCTGAACCGATGAAAAATTAGTTCACTATAACGACACAAACACTAGAATTAAACAAGCTTTCAGTTTTTTCCGAGCGCTGACTAGGCCGACACCACGTGGTTAAGAGCCAATTGATCCGAAAACATAAACTACCTAAACAAATTGTTATAAAAGATTTTTGAACGATTATAAAAATTAAATTTGAAGTATTATACAACCAACCGATCTGATTTATTCAAACAAGAACAATCATTTTTTATTCCTAAACCGATGCAAAATAAGTTCACTATAACGAAAAAATATGAGCTCTCGGGTTGAGCTCGCGGGGTGGTCTCAAAACATTGAATGTAAATCAACGACACCTGAGACTAGAATAAAAATGCTCACAACGCAAAAAAATCGTGATGTGGCAATTAAGGCCACAAAACATAAGCCGACAAACTATAGTCCAACGAATCATTTTTCCCAAAAAAAACCATTTCGGACATTGAAAAAAACAAGGTCCGACCGGGGCTCGAACCCCGGTCATAGAGTGCTACATTACCTCCAAGCCATTTGAGAGGGCCTGGAAGTTGCTAAGAATCGATATCAAAGCAACATCAGTTTCAATTACGAACGTTTAAAAGTTGTTTATGGGAAAAAAGTCTAGTTCCCGATTACAAAATCTAGTTCCCGAGACTTGCTCTCTTAATTGTAATAAAAAACATAAAAACCGAAAAGAAAAGATTAGAAGAAACTTGCTTTCACAATTGTAATTAAAAACATAAAAACCGAAAAAACACAAGTAAAATATAATTTAGTTCGCTCATCAAACGACGCAAAATAGTTCCCTTAAGCTGAAACTATTTCGGTGAATGGCAAATAGACGGGGCTTATCCAGACAATGAACTTAATAGACAATTATCAGACAGGAAAGCAAACAAAACAGGTTCAAGGTACCAATTAAGAAAATTTTGATCCGATGTTTTAATTCGATGTTTGGACAATCAAGTTGTATAAAAATGTGTTCGCTTTCCCCCAAAATGCATGCATTTTATTTGTTTTGTTCGTTACTCAGTTCACTGTTTAGATCAGATCCGTCTCCTTGTCCTTTGCCACAATTTCAGCCAAATACATCAAAAAAAGTATACCAAGTCGAGATTGGTATATTAACAACCAACATTAAATACAAACTTCGAATAGAACGGACTTGATCCAATAAAAAGTTGATTCGGCTGAAAAATTTTAAGTGAGAACATATCGATGAAAAGAAGCAAAATTGTTGCGTGATTTACCAACCTTCATACCCAGAACTTGGGTAAAGAAATCGTAATTGGCCTTCCTGTTTCCTATCTTAAGCACAAAATGCAGAGCGCGACCAGACACCCCGCCAGCCATATTGCATCTGAAAATTATTCAAACATTGCCAACTGACAGTTGGAAAAGAGTAATGAACACAAGGAAACTGAAAAAAAGCAACTTGTTTTTTCAAAAATCTTCAACATTTAAATTTCGAAGAAAAAAATAGCTGGCCTTAAATCTCTTTGCATTTGTAGAACAAATTATGAAAGAATTTTTTTTGTTAAAAATAACCCAATTTGAGAAAACTGGATCAATGGGTAAAACTTTTACTCCACTGGGAAATCTGATAATTAATTTCCCTTTAGGAAATTAGAATTCGATCACGTTTTTCGGGACCTTTACACTTTTGCTGTTCGATAATGAAGTTTGCCTTCTTTTTAACAATGGAATTTCAAATATTATTAGCAGAAATACTTTAGAAAGAGAATAATTTCCAAGAGTTTTTTTTGAAGAGAGACGAAGCTACAGTTCGCAAAAAAGCACAAAAGGTAACACTAAAACTGCAAAAAATACACAGAAGCTAAGCTGAGCTCCGCGTCACTTGCAATACAGAAAGCCACCAAATCATTAAAAAAACAACCGAAAAACAAGACTCGAATATTTCATATATTGCTCTAAAAACGAAACTCATTTTGATATTAACCCGTGGCAAAACGCAAAAGCCAGCATTGGACAAGCAAAAAAATACCGAACAGTAACTATGACAAACCAGAACAAATGTTATTAAAAAACTCCAAGCGAGAAAATCAAGCAGAAAATGTAAAGATGATGGGCACACAGTCACCATAAAATTGGAACAATTACTCACAGAAGCTAAGCTGAGCTCCGCGCCACTTGCAATACAGAAAGCCACCAAATCTTTTAAAAAAACAACCGTAAAATAAAACCCTAATATTTCATATGTTGCTCTAAAAACGAAACTCATTTTGATATAAACCTGTGGCAAAACACAAATGCCAGCATTGGACAAGCAAAAAAAAAATTCCGAATAGTAACTATGACAAACAAGAACAAATGTTATTAAAAACTCCAAGCGAGAGAATCAAGCAGAAAATGTAAAGATAAAGGTCACACAGTCACCATAAAACTGCAACAATTACACACATAAGCTAAGCTGAGCTTAGTGCCACTTGCGATACAGAAAGCCACCAATTCATTTTTGAAAAAACGACGTGAAAACAACACCCGAAAATGTCATATGTTGTTCTTAAAACGAAACTCATTTTGATGAAAATCTGTGGCGAAACACAATAGCCAGCAATGGAAAAAAGTAACTTTTGATTTTTGCCAAAAATCCATCTGCCATTAATTTGAATCGATGAACAACAAAAACTCTCAGAGATCATAAGGCATTGAGACGGAAACTTACTCTGAACTAAGTCCAAACAAACAGACGAAACAAATTAGCAAAATTATAAAAAAAAAGGTTACAAAAACACTGTCGTCTATTTCAATTTTTTTCGCTATCAGAATCTTTAGGTGGTGTAAAAACGAAATACTTAATTTAATTTCGCCAGCTAACACTTAAATTACAAATTTAACGAAAGCATTGAGCCGAACGAAAGGAAAACATTAAGTGACTAGAAACAAGTAGCTAAACAAACTAAATTTGTTATTTTGAAATAAACATATTCTGAAAATTACGAGCAAAGAATTGCTTGAAAACTTATAGGAAATTTGTGATCTTATAGCACTTAAAACCTCCTAAAAACAAGTCTCTCGGCTAGAGAAATTATCGTTCTACAAAACATATAGATTAAAAAGCACTCAAAGTAAAATAAAAATCAATTGACGATTGGAAATTATACCAAGGAAATTGCGAATGAACTCATGACTTCAGTTACCTTCGCTAAAAAGAATATGATACCAGCAGACCGCTCAAGAAGCATCGAAGAAAAAATCAGAACAAACCTTTATTGAAAAGAAAAAATCCAAAACTTGAACAATGAGGCGAAACTGAAAGCCAACAAAAAATGAGGAAAAAAACGCCAAAACAATAGACAAAACTTTCATAATTTTGTCTCAAAATGAAACTAATTTTGACGAAAACATGTGACTGAACACAACAGACAGCATTGAAAAAGCATTAAAAAAATTACCGAGCGGCAACTATTTAGACAAAGTAGGGATGAATGGTCATAAAAAATCAAACGTAGAATTGTTTAAAAGCAGAAAATGTAGAGAAACAAATTGGTAACAAATCTATATGCCAATAATTTGAATCAATTAGCAGCCAAAAATTCTCAAACATCACGATCAATCAAGATGAAAACAAGCTCTGAACATATAAAGAAAGACAAAATTGATGCTGGCGAAAAAGCTGTCGTCTATATAAATTTTTTGCTATCAGAAAACGTTGATAAGTATAAAAACGAAACACCTATTTTCATTTAAGTTGTGTACACTTAAATTGCGAAGAAAAAAATTAATAGAAAGACCGAGAAGATAACATTTAAAGTACTAAAAACTAACAGCGAAAATAAACTAAATTCGTTAATTTGAAATAAACAAATTCTGAAAGCCATGAGAAAACATTTTTAAAAAAGGTATTTTGTCGTCTGATAGCATTGAACACTCCGCAAAAACGGATTGAAAACTATTCCGATAAAATTGCGAATGGACTAATGACAACAAGGACTAATAGGATAAGAACAGCAGCCCACTCAAGAAGCATCGAGGAAAATAATCGAACAAAAACTTGGAAAAGAGAAAAACGAGAAAAAAAATTCAAAATTCAATAAAAAGTCGGAAAAGCCATTAAAAATTTCAAACATAACTTGTCAAAGTTGAACCAATATATAAACCAAAAACGATTGGAAATGAACAAATCACAGAGGCGAAACCGAGCTTCGCGCTACTTGAGATATGATACAAAACAGCCACTGAATCTTTTAAAAAATCAGAAATTCTGAAATATATCAATGCGAATAAAAGCATGTTAAAAATTTCACAAAAAAACAATGGAAGGTAAAAATAGAATCAGAACAAAAAAGCCAAGCGGTAAAAAGCCGAAATACATGAGACAAAAATCCTTTAAGCCTATAAAATTCTAAAATAAAAGACTTAAGAAAGAATAAAATTTTTTATCCCCCATTAACCTCATTACACACAAGCACACAAAAAATTTTTGGCTCTTCACACGACAAAATATAAGGTAAATAAGCCGATATTAAATAGGCCGAAACTTATCAACCGAGAGAAAAATTATAAAAAGACTCAAAAACTAATTAATAGTTGCTAAAGCCTCATCCCCTTCAACACACACACGCACACAATTTTTTTTCGCTCATCAAACGACAAAATATGAGGTATATAAGCCGATATAAAAAACACCTAAACTTATTCAACTGAGAGGCAAAAACAATAAAGAGAAAAAAATAAAGGACGCAATCTCACGTCAATAAATCGAAATATGGGCCGAAACGTATTCAACCGAGAAAACGGAAAATAGAAAAATTAAGTTTTAAAAAATAAGTTGGTTAAATTACAACCAACCTAACAAACAAATTTCGAATATGACAGATATTCAAAACGCTAATATGCTGAAAATGGAGATCATCCTGTGGGCATAAAAAGTAGTTGTTTACGGTAAAAAAGTATAGTACCCGATCCCAATATTCTTGCATATCGCAAGTGTAAATATTAGGTAAATAAGCCGAAGGAATTAAAACTGACACTTAACAACTGAAAAACAGACAAAAAGTATTTAGTAAAAAACCATACATAAAAGTCTTGTATCGACTACCTACAAAGCAAGCTTTGGCCCTATACAAGCAAAGTTATTTAGGGAAAAAAGTCAATTTCCCAGTTGCTATACCCGTACTCGTCGGAAGGGTAAAAAAAGCCATGAAAGAAAAAAATCCTTGAACAACGAACATTCGCTGTTTACCGTTTCGCTCCGCCTGTAATTTTTTATATGCCTTAATTTTGTTTCCGCGGTCGGTCCATTTGCAAGTGAGTTAATTTTCGAATAATAACCACATTGGGTCTCCGTATAAAATCAATGACATAGCAAGGGATAAAATGTTGATCAAGTATATTTTGCCATTTAACCAATAGTTTCATCTAATTTAAAAATGTTAAAAAAATCAAATTTTCACACACGTTTTTTTTGTAATGCTGGGAAAGTTTCGAGCTGCAATCAAAAATGTAATTGATAACTGATGTTCATCAACAAACAACATGACAAAACGAAATTACTGAAAGCAAAAAAAAACACTAGAGCATTGAAGAGCCATCAGATTGCTGTAAATGAAAGATAAAAAAAGACTAGCTTAGGGAGCATTATTCTGAAAATCAATTTGAAAACTGAGGCCAAATCACAAAAACAAAAAATGGACAAAAATTGATTTATACTGTCGGAAGAAATTCGAAAACTAAAACCTCACCACGTTGATCAACACTCATTCATATTGGCGCTATTAAAGCTCAACATGTGAAAATAAAAATCTTTGATTTATAAATAATAAATGACCAAACTATAGCTGCTAAAAGATATACATCTACATATTCAGTAGTGATCCACTCCTGGATTGAGGCGGGTCCAGTTCTGGAATTTGGCACAGCGGGGGAACTGCACCGGAGGAGTTCCAAACCTTGACGTCTCCCGAAGATACGGTGGAGTTGAAGTCGAACTTCAGTTTCTTGGAGTTGTTTCCCTCTGTGAGTAGGTTCACTCTTTGAACCACAGCATCACTGACTGAGAAATTGTTTATCTGCGAAAGTAAAGAGTTACCTTGCTCATTAATAAGAGGCAAACAATATCAAAGACATTTCAGTCAATTCATGCTGCACTTTACCAACTTATAGCTTCGCACTGCTACCAGTCAATAAGCAGAAGGGTCTAAGAGCAGAAAAACATTAACGTTTATGAGCTGATCGGTAAATTAAGTATAATAATAGTCAATATTACCAAAGCAACTAATATTTTAAGCATATTTTAAATAATTTAAACGAGATTTTCTTATAATTCGATGAAAAAAAAACTTGATAAAAGTATTCAATTCAAGAAGTTTTATCATTTTCTTGGTATTATTGACAATTTTGTTTTTATCAATTTGCTCGTATTAATCAGTATAAGTTAATATTTTTTTTGTTTTTCTGCTCTTGGACCCATTTTGCTTAGACCATTCTGCTTATTGCTCCGCCTCCCTTCGCACCACCTGCGATACAATACAAACATAGTAGAGCCATGATTAATTAGTCTTTATTAACTTCATTTTCAGGAAAATATGCCAAGTAAGTCAACTGCCAGTGTTAACTTACAGTCACAAAAAAACTTATGAAGCGTAATTTATGAAGCGCCATATAAGCCGACCGATACTATTTGAGCAGACACCGGTTGAACCAAAAAAATGTTTTCATAAAAAACGTTGAATTATGAAACTTTTTTTGAAAAAGTTTCCAAGTCCCCTTCCTCCGAAACGCACACGACTATGAAAGTTTTCACCCATTATTCGACGCAATAGAAGCGTCTGAGCCTATGAAGTACTTTAAAGCTCTGATAAAATTAGAACAATTTATGATAAAATTACAGTAAGCTTAATCAATACGTAAAACTTTTATTTGCTGAGAAATCTGAAACTTAAAAGCCACTTTTGAAATTATAAGTCAAGCACGTGTTTCCCGACCTTCAATCTTTAGCTGTTCGATAGTGGATTTTGTTTGGTTTTACACAATCAAAATTGATGTGAACTTGAAAAAAATCAAAAGTCAAACCGCGAAAAATCAAAACTGAACATGATCAAATTTTACACAGAGGTGAAGCTGAGCTTCGCACAACTTGCGACACAACAGGAACATAGCATGACAAAAGAGCAGACAGAAATTGAAACGAAAGCCGTGAGGTCGATTTTTATTGAAAATTGTCGAGAACAGCTGGTTCTATCATAACTTTCATATCTTTGTCTTAATTAAAATTCTATTTTTAATAAAACATTTGAACAAGCAAACTGAAAATTTTAATCGCATACAAACAAAGCGGTATTAAAGCAGCACCCTCTGAGCTAACAAAATGTGTTCAAAAACATCTTGTAACTCAATTACTTCACCAACGAGGCTTTAAGAAATGGCATTCAGGAATTTAAAAGAAAAGCCGATTTAAAGTAGTTGCCATGCTACGACAACTAAGCCGACAAAAAAAACAGACGGACGTTAATTTGTCAATTTTTTTTCTGGTCGATCAAATAGTTTTTTCGAGCGCTCCCAGAGCAATATAAAGACTATATGTAGACAAAATTTGTCCTATGGTCAAAAATGCCGTTTTTGGGCACTTTCTGGAAAACTTTGACCGAAAAATTGCCGTTTTTTTGGTGTGCGCTCGCTTTCAAAATTAGTGTGAATTCGCTTAAAAAGCGCCTTTTGAGAAAAATTTTGAGGAAAATCTTTGGTCGGCCAAAAATGGATGGCCCAAAATAATACCAAAAAGGGAACCCTTTGGTTGGAGAGGGTGTCGAATCTTTGACGGGGGGACGCCCTCCCCTAAATCCGCCCCTGTTTTACTTACGAGTTTACTTTTTTCACAATCAACTTACATAGTTTAATCTCAAAAATGGTTGGCAGTTTTTCTGCTTAGCATTTTAACAGTGGCAATTTTGTAGCATTTGTTGTATCCGCTTTTTCTCGTTGCCAGTGTTTGACGACATCAAGGCTCTATGCGAGAAGGACATTAGACTCTGAATCAGAGGACAGAAGTTTTTTTCAAAGCACTTCTACTTAACTTGATTGACTTGACTTTTAATTTCTAGAATTTCTAGTGGCGAAAAGATACTTTTTGATTTTGTTTTTGTCAATCTGGGTTAAATTTTGCAGAAAGATGTCAATAGAAAAGTGTTAAATTCTGAAATTATCAAAAACTCTGCAAATACTTTGGTCTCCAAGAGATCATTGCCGTTTTTCCACCTGTATGCCAGTTATTTATGTAGTTTTTGAAATTTTAGTGCACCTTTTCGCCATCTCTTTTGCTTGTTTTTGCAAAGTGCAGCCACCCAATATGGATAGTACAAGTCATTTTCTCTTATGTAATTCGCGCATCTCACTTTCACTCAACAATCTTGTGCAAAGATGTGCCGTATTTTAACTGCATGACCTGTATCCGCTCAATTGACGCGCATTCACCACTGACTGCTGCATATTGGCAAAACATGCATGAAACTTAGAGGTAACAAGCAGACTGGTTTTGTGGAAAAGTTCCTGACTATGAAGAGGCTGGTAGTGGGTCCGATCCCGCTGTCCCAAGTTTTTTTTCAGCGGATTATTTATAGAAAAATGAAATAGCCAACATATAGTTGGAAAAGAGTCAATGAACGCAAGTTACCAGAGAAAAACGCTGACTTATTCTTTGAAGAACCTCAATTTACGAATTTCGAAAAAATTGACGCTCTTAAAGCTCTTTGAAGTTCGGGAACAAATTATGATTTGCACTGGTTTGATAAAATTAACCCAATTCGAGAAAGCTGGATAATTAAGTCAGACGATTATATCGCTGAGAAATCTGAAAATGAAATTCCATTTTCGAAAAGTAGAAGTCGATCACATTTTTCGTGCCCTTGTAACTTTTGCTGTTCGACAGTGGAGTTTGCCTTCCTCTTAACAAAACAATGAACTAAATTAAAAAAAAATTAAAAGTCAAACCGTGAAAAAGTAAATTTTGAGCCTGAACAAATTTTAAGAATTTTCCTGAAAAAAAAAATCATTCTACCTATATAAGAGTCTGAACTACGTTCATCGACGCTATGCCATAAGCTTTTGATAAAAGTGGGTCATTAAAAAATCGATCTGAACGTACCTTGAAAGCAACTTGTGCGTAAATATTGGACAACTTTTCGTTGTCGAAATTGCTGACCAAACTCTCGTCCAATAAAGATTCCGAAAGCATGGATTGAGAGTCAAAAGTTGAACCCTGTGAAGCTCTAGATGAAAACCGAATAAAGAAGCTGCACACACATGGTTTCGATGGAGTTATAGAGGGAACCCTTCCTATAGTCCAGATGAAGCGCTTCGCTTTTTTGCTGATCACATAGCTGCCTGGTTAAACACACAAAAAAGTGATATGCGTGATACAGCTGATAAGGGGAAGAAAAATGAGTGAATGTACAAAAACCACCTTAAATATACGCGGAGCGATAATGTGCATATTATATGAGCCATGCAAAAGTAACTTTGGACCAATTTTCATCTAACGGGTCACCCCCAGGATATGATAGAGAAGCAACGTCAGGAAACAATTATGACGTTCAGATATCAGTGAAAGGAGGCTGAAATATGATGGGGTAAAATTTTGTGATATTTACCACAAGATAATTTGACGTTATTCACTTCTCGGACAAAGGTCTCCATATTCGCGAAAGGAAACTGGACTTCAAGAAACTCCAATTTGGCAGATTGCATCACGGGATTAACACTAACTACTTCGAATTTGATTCTCGCACCTCGATCCCTTGCAGCCCACTTAACTGTATAGTTGCACTTAATTAGGGGATTTGATGTTACTAAAATTTCGGGTAAGTTATAGTTCACAACTGTAAAGGTTTCAACTGGCGGACACACATTGAACTTAATTTCATTGTTCAAGAAGCTCTCGTGTTGTTTCACACTCGTGTGAACTAAAACCGACTCAAAAATAGACTTGCTGCTTTTCAGTTCGAACTCGATTTCAGGCAAGATTCCATTAAGATCACAAATTGCATTAAGCGAACCCGAGACGATCCCCTGACCGTTGCCATCGCAAACTTCGCTGTGCATTTCAGCATTGTACTTCTCAACTAAAGTGAATACAACTGTGTTTTTACCAGATGTCACAAAGGGTCGCCAAGCTGCCATTTTTTCGTCTAAGATAGGGCTTTTTTTAGTTTTCGCGTTTAGATGGGAAGGATATACAAACTGGTCGATTTTGAGACTCAGTGGAATGTTGGTCGAAGAAGGTGTTCCAAAGGGACAGTTCTGACTAAGAAAGGAAGACACTTCGTTATCCAGCTTACTTGACAAGGTTGCTTTGTCGGCAGCGAAAGGAGCAACGAATGACATAATTGAAGTGAGCAGTTCGTACGCCGCAACCACAGATGGCAAAAAATAAGATTCATTTGCAGACTCTAAACAAAGTTTTTCATTATAAACAAAAAAATCAATCTAAATAGTAGCGGATTTATGGGGGAGCGGAACGCGCCTCTCAACGGGGATTTGAGACTCTGAACACCTACTGGGACCCTTTGATACCTGCTGATGACAATCGTTTTTAATCGTCTGACCCAAAAATATGTCTATAGGCGCCGTCGGCAACAAAATTACAATAAATTAAAGAGAGGGAAGCACGCTTCCAAAAAAACGAGACATTATTCGGCCACTATGTTCTAAAATGTCACTTTGGGGCTGTTTTTTTTTCTCAGCAATTAAACTGCGGCACCGGAAATTTTAGCAAAATGTTGCCAATGAAAAAACTATTTCTTGGAGAGTACGGGAAATCTTCTAGGTCGTTTCGAAAAAGAGGCCGTGGCTGAGTGGATTCAGCGCTTGGTTTTTCACTAAATGGTCGCGGTATCGAACCCCACTTCGACCCAGTTGAAGGGTTCCTAAATTTATCCGCATCTTCATGAAGGGAACGACTTCGACGAAATTGACGAAACCACTTCCTGACGAAGGATCTGCCGTCGGTAGGACCGTATGCAAATTTTTAAAAAAAAGGACTTTTGAAAATCTGGCCTCTAGGATTAACTCACGATGTGCGCGTGATTTTTTCTATATTGTTGTTCCGACCACTGAAAGTGGGGAGGAACTTTGTATTCGGGTAGGTTTTAGTTTTTTGTTTTCTACGCAAAATTAGGTACCACAAATAACCATCGGAATGTGTCGAGTGATATGATCATACTGAAGCCCTGTCGAGAAAAATCTGTTGGAAATTTTTGATTTAACTTTGAGCTAATAAGGTGAGCGTTCAGGCTTACAATAGCTTATTTATGCTCGATTTAAGCCTTGAAAACTTGGTCATACTCAATTAATATTGGTTTTTGAAGTTTTTAGCATTTTGAGAATCCAAGACTTTTTTTTTTCGTTTTCCAAGTTATTTTTGTACAGAAACTGTTTTCCAATTTTCCTAGTTTACTACAACTGTCGAATATGCCTAAGCTCTACTTTTTCGTTTAGATGTTTTTATCACGCCACGCAGAAAAAAACGACACTAATTTGGAAAAACGTTTTTTTTTGTTCTTTTAAGACTGGCAGGAGCATTCCATTGCACAGTAACCGGCTCTCCTTGTTCATAATAGCCTTTTATCTATATCAAGAAAATCAAAAAAGGAAATAGCGAAAAATTACTATCTGATTAAACTCCCCACGATTAATATCTGATTAAATTAATATACGAATAACGTCTATCATTCTCAGTTAACAGATAACTAAAAAATAATTGAAAGCGACCAAATATTAGTATCTCACCAATCTTTCGGTCTATGAGCGGAACAGAGCACGCCAATAGATCTCCTTGTTGTATAATTACGACAGGCCATAGCACCGCGCCCACACACACTTCGTCCAGGGGCACTTCGTAGATCGGTGCATTTAACCGATTGATCTCCAATTTAGACTTCAGCACAAACCTGTCAGAGTCATTAAGGATAACATCCAGAATGCGACTTCCGAAGTATTCGTACTCCAGGGGCATTTTTACGTAGTCTTTTACCAGTACCAAGAATGATAGATGGATCTTTAATGAACATCTGTTCTGATGAAATAAAAGCAAAGAGAACGAGCACTGCCATGTAAATTCTAGATTGAATCTGATCATTACTTAAAAGTTTTGATCGAAAAAAATTCAACCAAAATTGATTTTTGGGTCACTATATGGGTTTGAATAATTCACAATGTTCTTCTTAGTCTCGTCAAAAAATGATTTGTCCATCTTTTTTCTGACAATGCGTTTTTCGGTTAACCCATCTATCAATCTTCTACCTTGCCCCATTGTAAGGAAGCTCCGACGTTCCACTGAAGGATAACGCCGCGAAAAAAGTAGACTGAGTGAAAGATTCCTGCCTTCATGTTTGTTGTCCTCTATGAAGCGATAAACCATTAAAGATCGGAGAGACATACTCGAATGTATGCTCTAATTTCAATTCAGTACTGACACAACGACAGAGCTATTCAACTCAACTATTTTATATTATGCATATCGTATTGAATGCTTTATTGAACATAGTTCAAGCTGAATGTTACGAGATTCTGTCTCGGTCCAATAGTTGAACCTCACTGATGCACTATTTGCAAACTATTTAAATCAAACGTCCCCATATTGAAAATACCAGCTTACAATATACGATAATTTGTGATAATTACTTTCCTACCATCTTGTGATTTTGTGATAAGTCGAACGCCCTGCTCCTCAAATCTACAGTCAAGAACCTAAATAATCTATCTTATCTTTACTGTACAACTAGAAAACTTGGCTTTTGAAATGACACCGGGCCGAATTTTCATGCATAATTTCAATAAATAGGTTGATATGCTTCTATTTCAATAAATTCAACTCAAACTAAAACGCAGTCCACTATCCCAAAATAAATTGTCAAGCAAGGGCCCCCCATAAACCAAAAGGGGAGCGTTCACATGGTCCTCGGACGAAAAACGTCATAACAAACATCTAATTCCAATGAGGATGGCCGGTTGTTGAGCAAGTAGCACAGAGTTCCGACCACAGTAACATTAACCAAAATAAAAGTTTTTTTTCCAATTGCGTCGTTTTCTAGTCGTAGTGTAATGAGCGAATCTGAATGAAAGGCTGGAGCTTCAATAGCAATAGCAAATTAGGTACATATGAGAATAGTTTTTCCTATTACAAACAAAAATCACAAAACCAATTCGAAAATTTTTTTCTTAAGTTTCATTCCCACGAAAGCGTTAACAGACAATTCCAAAACTAATTTTAGAAGAGCAAAAATAAATTTTTACTGCTTAACTTGAATTATAAATTTAGCATTATAAGCCTGCTGGATTGCTTTAGTCGGAACTTGATTTTGCGTGAAAAATAAAAAAGCAAAACAAACCCGAAAAAGCAAAACAAACACGATCGGTACAAAAAATGCGGGATAAAAACGATCACAGCCAACAAACATTCGTGAAAGTGCAACTGGAATTGGTCAACAAAAAAAAAACAAAAAACGTTACCACAAACAAAATAATGCTTTTATTGGAATGCACACATCAATTTCCGCCCTTAATATGGGTTGTTTTTGTGTCGATGAAATTGCTTTGGGAAAAAATTTGCCAAATGTGCACAGTCCGTATTAGAAAAAACTGTATCAAAATGAGTGTCTTACTTAGACTAAAAAATTGAAGAGAATAAAAATTGATGTAATCTTTATTCTCTTCAGTTTCTTAAATTTCTCATAAGATTGATGTCTGGTCATCAAAACACGCTGGTTTTACTGTCAAAGCTAACTTGCTCCTTTTAAATAATATTTTATCGAAAGCAATTAAATGACAACAACAGATTATTAACCCTTCGCAGATTATTAACATCTCATCGACAAAAAGCTACAAATCCACGTTAAAATTAAACTGAAACCCATAATATGGCTCAGATTTGGAAGTGATGTATTTCCAACTTTGAGACATGAATTCGGCTAATCAGTTCACATTTTCAATCCCGGAATGGCCCTATTGTGTCTGAGCCAAACAAAATAATACGAAGAAACTCAATCGAGTTAATTGAAGCTTAATAACTAAGGCTTTTAATTCTGCTATTCATTTTAGGATGGATACTGTCAGGATACCTTTTTTAGTAGCAAAAAGACCACTTCAAGTAAAAAAACTGACAAAATCCCATGGATTTAACACGCCACCAGCAGACTAAATAGTGTTCAAATATACTCTCGGTGTATATTCAATTTCGCGAGGATAAAGTAAACAATATCTGTTTACATTCTAAAACAAAGTTTCCTCTTTTTTTTTCAGATGCTTTCTTAAAGCTTTCTTAAAACGGCTTTTAGGGCGTTAATATGACAAACTACTTAGCCCCTTGCAATAACGAATTCTCTTGCCTGATTTTGCTTAAAAAACCAACTAGAAGACTACGTTGCCCCCCCCCCCCCCCCTTTCAGAGGTCTGAACGAAAAACGCGGGACGAAAATGATCACAGCAGCAAACATTCGTAATGGTGCAACTGAAAATCGGCAACCAAAAAACCAGTGGTTCGATTGTCGTAAAATATTAGACCAACCAATTTGCACTTCTGATTTAAATTAACAGGAGAAAATTTAATTATAGAAATTTGATCGGAATTTAATTGAAGTGAGTTGACTTTTGAAAAAGTCGCTTTAAAACTTACCAGAATCATTCTAGTCCATATTTTGAAAATCAGACCTTCACTTCCACCCTTTATGTGGCTTAGTTTTGGGTCGATGACTCTGATTTGGGTTTAAATTTGCGAAATTTGCATAGTCCTTATAAGTATAAATTCTATCAAAATGAGTGTTTTGATTAGTCCAAAAAATGTTAATTCAAATAATGCTGACTAGCGTGTAACGCACCTCCGGTACTAATAAAAAACCCCATATATTGGAAAAAAGATCTGCATTCTTTGAGTGTACTCTGACAGCACCCAATTACAAGATTCGTAATTACAAATTTTGCAAAATTTTTTATTCAAGTTTTTTATACAAATTTTGGAGAACCATGAATATTAAACCAGGAAGTTTTATATAAATTCTTCGAAAAACTTATAATGAACTAAGAAACGTTACATATTGGAAACTAAAAGGAATTGGGTAGTCGCATTTGGACGCAAGATTTGCAACTTTTGAAGAGTACTCTTATAGTACCCAACTACAACGTTGCGAAATTCAAATCTTGAAACTTCACCTTAAGTTTTCTAAAAAAGGTATTTCTGAGAACCCGAAAAAATTTCACTTTTCGAAAACTATCAGGACTTCAGCAGTCTTATTTGATGAATTATGTGAATTATTTTGTAATTTGAGTTTTCTGAAAACTTCCAAAGAAAAATCCCAAAATAGTCTTATCTCTTAAACTAAAAAGGTTTGGGAATTCTTAATTGGAAGACGAAATTGTAAGCCCTGTGATTACTGACTGCCCCAACTAAACGTTAGAAAGTTCAAACTTAAAAAAAAAATTAATATAATTTTATGAAAACTTTTGAAAAAAGCACAAAAAACGTCGTATATGGAAAACTACAAGGTTTTGAGCAGTCATATTTTTGGAGGCAAAAATCTCAACTCCTGAAAGTACCCTGACATATTCCAATAACAGGATTGAGATCTTCAGCCTTTTGGAATTTTTTAACATCTGAGTTTTTGTTAAAAATTTTGGAGAAAATCATAAAAACGTCATATCTCGAAAACTTCAAGGATTTGAGCAGTCATATTAGGAAGCAAAATTCGCAACTCCTGAGGGTACTTTGACAGAGCCTGACCACAGAGATGCGAATATCAAAATAAGTGAACTTATTTATTTCGAAGTTTTCTGAGAAATTTTTTTAAAAAAATCTTAAAATAACGTCATATCTCGAAAACTAAAAGGATTTGAGCATCCATAATCAGAGGCAAAATTCGCAGCAGCTGAGAGTACTGTCACAGATTCCAATAACAGGATTGAGATCTTCAACTTAATGGAATTTTCAAAATCTAAGTTTTTGAAAACTTTTAGAAAAAATCATAAAAAACGTCATATCTCGAAAACTACAAGGATTTGGTTATTCATATATGAAGGCCAGAATCGCAAAACCTGGAAAAACTCTGACATCCAACTATTGGGTTGCTAATTACAAACTTGATGAGTTAAACACTTAATTTAAACAGGAAAATCTAAAAAAACTTGACTATTGCAATATACGATATAGCTTAAACGGTAAAAAATTTATTTGTTAAACATGCAAAAAATACGTTGAAAAAGCTTAAACATGGCGAGATAGTGAAGCCCGCATTTAAATATATAAAAGATTATAGATTTGATAGATGAAAGTAAAAAATCAGGAGAACGGTAGACAGACATAATGAAATTAATTAAAAAAGCAGCTACACAGACAGAAGAAAAAATTACTGAAAATTAATGACCTTGCCGAAAACTAATTCAAAAATTTTCTTAAGCATTGCAATATATGATAGAGCTTAGACATGGAAAAACTCTTTCGTTAAACATGCAAAATATTATGCTTAAACATGGGAAATAGCTGTTACTCGCATTTAAATATAGTATGGATAGAGGATTTGGGCATTCTTAATTGGAGGCAATATTCGCAATCAAATTAATTTAAAAAAAAACAGGTATACAGACAGAAAAAATTACTGAAAAATAATTACCTTGACGAAAACTAATTGAAAAATTTTCTTAAGCATTGCAATATTTGATATAGCTTAAACATGGAAAAATTCTTTCGTTAAACATTCAAAATTATTATGCTTAAACATGGGAGATAGCTGTCACTCGCATTTAAATATAGTATAGATAGATAGATATAGATAGATTCAACTAATTTTGTTGTCTGATCAGCAAAACAGGCTGTTTTTACTATCATACTATCAAAAGCTAGCTTAATTGTTCAAAATCCACTTTTCACAAAAAATTAGCTAAAACGCCATTAAATAACCAAGGCAGATGAACACTTCGCAACTTTTCGAAAACAGCAAAGAACATCTGATCGACAAAAAGCTACCAATCCACGTTAAAGTTAACTGAAACTAATTCAAGGCACAACTTTGGAAAAGAACTATTAAGTTCCGCAATCACCCTATTGTGTCTGAGCTACTCAAAACAATGCAGAGCTCAATGAAGGTCAAAAAAGCTTTTAATATTAATTTTGCCAACGATCTCGAGATCTTTTTTGGTTGAAAAAAGACCACTATATACAGTAAAATCCAGAAAAAATCCGACTGACTGAAAACGCCACCCATCTAACTAAATAGCTGTTAACAATATTCCCGTTAATTTAAGTTTCATGACTGCAAAAAAATAACAAAATAACCTTTGACGTACAAATTTTTATGGGTATTTGCGTCAGAAGTTTTCAAAATTATTCTGAAGTTATTTTCAATTTTTCTACTGATGCTTTCTTGAAGTTTTTAACAGTCATTCTGACAACGACTTACAGGTCGTTAATATGATAAATCACCCAACCCCATACGATTCCATTTGTCATACCTGATTTTGCGTGAAGACTAAGTTGCTCCCCACTTTCACAGGTCGGAACAAAAACGCAATAAAAAAACGATCACAGTCAACAAACAATCGTAATAGTGCAACTGAAAATGGGCAAAAACGACCAGTGGTACGATTTACGGGAAAAAATTCGACCAATCAATTTGCACTTCTGATTTGAATCAAAAGGAGAAAAAACATTTATAGAATTTGGATCGAATTTTACTCAAATGATTTCATTTCTTTTTTGACAAAAGTTGATGACTCTATAGAGGCTTTAAAATTTACTACAATCAATACAGTGCTTTTTTTGAAAATCAGACATTAGTTTCCACCCTTAATATCGCTTGTGTTTGATCGATGAATTTGATTTTACTGGTTAAGCTTTTTGGTTAAGCTTTTTCAAATTTTACTGTCAAAGCTTAACTGTTTTCACTGCCAAGCTAACTTGATCATTTTAAATAGTTTTTTCTTGACCCTTTTCCAAAAAAAAGCAATTAAACAACCAAGGCAGATTAAAAATCCTAGGCATGTTCTTCTGAATAGCTTAGAACTGAAACTGCCAAGCTAACTTGATCGTTTTAAATAATTTTTTCTTGAACCTTTTCCAAAAAAAAGCAATTTAACAACCAAGGCAGATTTAAAATCCTTCGCATATTCTTCTGAATAGCTAAGAAATGAAACAAAATCAAGGCTCAAATTTGGAAGAGATTCATTTCAAAATTTGAGCCTTGAATTTGGCAAATGAGTTCGCATTTTCATTTTCCACAATCACCCTAATGTGTCTGAGCCAACCAAAATAATCAAAAGAAACTCAATTGAGGTATTTAAAGCCTTTAATTCTGCTAATAAATCTCTCGGCCCTTGAAATGGCTTGTTTTTGCTGCGATGAATTTGATTTGGGTAAAATTTTGCACTATGTGCATACTTAATATTAGAAGAAGTTATATCAAAACGATTGTCCTAAAAAACATGACAAAAATTAAAGAAATTATTGAGGAGCTTTTAAAGAACATAAAGAGAGATACCATTGTTATCTGATCATCAAAACCGGTTGTTTTTGGTTTTCAAAGACTTGTTGGTTCTAAATCAACCTTTCTTTAATTTTTTCAAAATGCAATTAAATGACATGGGCCGATTAACCCTTCGCAAATTTAACCCTTGCGAATAGCTAAGAACAACGTTTGATCGACAAAAGGCTATAAATCCTGGTTCAATTAAACAAAACCTTTCTAATGCTCAGTTTCGGTAACGAATCATTTGGGCAAATATGTTCACAACCCGGAAAAAGCCGATTGATTGAAAACGTCACCGCCAATTTAAGGAGCTATCAAATACATTTTCAAGTGTTATAGTTACAGTGTCATGAAGACAAAAAATAACAAAAAATTTCCTTAAAATCGAATAAAATCTGTAAAACATTCTCTACACAAACGAAAACTCTACGAAAACTCTCAACAAATAGAAACACCACATCAGACAATCAAAAAAGGTAACTAAGCCGACACCCGAGGCTTCGAACTAAATACTTTTGGAGAAAGCATTGCAATGCTCCTATATACTTCATTGCGTAAACAATCTTCTTCTCATAGATGAAATAGACCTTTCAAAAATTGAATGGACAGCGCTATATTCGATAACTAAGAAGCAAAAAGCCAAAAAAAGTTTGTAAGACATAAATGAATGCATTGCAGGAAATCAAGAGCCAGCAGATACTCGAATCCTGAACATTTGGAACTACTAACAAGCGCTTTAGCGCTGCACTAAAGAGGCAACTGGCCAACACTCATTGATATTTTCCAAGGAATAAAAAAATTATATCATGGAAAAAATGCTTTCAAAAGTAAAACGGAGAAGTTGAGCTTCGCACCACTTGCGATATAAGACAAGAGAGCCAGTAAGTCAAAAAACAATTCAAAAATGTCGAAAAAAATAGATATCAAAATTATGAAGCTAATTTTGAAACAAAAAAGCCAAGACAATAAAATATGAACTGAGCACCGTAACAAAACTAACCAAGCTGTAACAACGCCGCAAATACCATACCAGAGAGCTTTTGAGCAAAAAAAAACTTCAATAAGAAAGACTTATTATAGACAAGACAATTAGAAAAATTATTATATCCCACTCACCCCAAAAAACACGCACATACACACACTTAATTCGCTCGTCACATGAAACAAAATGACGCCACTCAGCCAATATAATATAGCCCGAAACCTATCAAGCCAAAAAAAGGTAAAATAAAATACAGAGGCCAAGCGGAAAATCGCAACACTTGCGATGCAAAAGCAAGTTGCGCTACAAGACAGTGAGTAGAAAAGAAATACTGAAGTCAGAAAACTCCTAAAAACTGAGTTGGAAAAAGTTACTTGGAAACAAAATTTGAAAAAAGATGAAAAATTACAGCAACAAATACTTGATGTTTGTATCGGATGAAGTTCATAAACAGCCTTTAAAAAATTGGAAATCATTTACCGAGCGGCAACAAAGGCGACAAGCTTTGAGTCGAAACCTGCTGAGCCGATAACAAAATTGTTATAAAAAATTACTGCGATACAAAAATGTTCGATAGTGCAGTTTGCCTTCCTTTTAATTAAAGAAATGACGTGAACTAAAAAAAATCACAAGTCAAATCGCCAAAAATCAAAATGAGCGTGAACAAACTTTAAGACTTTTTCCTGAAAAAAAAACAAGTAAATTACCAAGACCTATAAAGAGTACTCTCTACGTTCAGAACTCTTAAAGGCTATGATTACCAGCAAATGAAAAGACAAATCAAAAATTGAAAAAAAACTTTTATTTTTTGTCAAAAAAATTGCTAAGGAGAAAAGATGCCTGAAACGAAAATAACTGCACCATAAAAAATTTACAACGCAACTTCAAAATGCTAAAAAAAAACGGCAGCTTTCTGCAATACCTATGCCAACAAAAATTAGCAGACATGAAGTCCAAAAAATTCAAAAACTTTTTCAGTTTCGATAAAAAAAGGTCCTGAGTGTAATCGAACTTCTGGGATATTTCTTTTCAAGCATGGGTGTTACCACTGTAGTAAATGCACAGAAAACTTATTGACTTTCTACAGAAAACAATTTCCAAAAAGTTCTAGCACTACGGCTAGGTCTAGGATTCCAACCTGCGACTAAGAGATTATGAGTCTCACAAACTAACCCCTCAGCCACGAACGCTGATTAGGTAACAAACACTAGACACAAATAAAGCAAAGAAAAAATACTATGCAACTTCCAGTGCTACAGTAAAATTTCCAAATAAATGAACACTTTTAATGAACACTTTTATTAGCGAGTTAACTAAGAAAAAAAACGAAGGTTCGTTTTAATAAACTACGCTGATTGCTAGTGTAATGAACATAAAAGATCACAATATAGGAAAAAATTAGACTGAATTACTTGCCCTAATCGGAATACACGGAAACTTTTTTAATTGAAAAAAGCCAAACTTTTAGACAACTAAACCGACAAAAAAGCAATCAAACCGAAATCCGAAAAAAAATTTTTGACGCGCGGAAAATTTTCCGTTAAAAAAAACAGGTCCTGGCCAGATTGAAACCATTGACCTTTGTCTTTCTAGGCAGGTGCGTTAGCTCTTCGCCAGAAGCGCGAATTAACATATGACTTTTGATTTTATGTGAATCAAAAGCATAACAAATTTTTAAGACCCATATAAACTGAAAACATTCCATATATTCGCAAACAGACAAATTTTTTACCTTGAAATTACGCAATATGAGTTGACTAAGTCGATATAGCATAAACGGAAACTGTTCAAATATTTTAAAAAAAAAAACAAGAAAAACTTTTTTTAAATACTCAAAATCAGACTTGGTGCATTTATAAATTTCCGTTATATTAAGAACTGTTTCAATTCGAACAAAACCCATGCTCTAAAAAGTAAGCTAAAATAACCTACCAATTTTTTTAAATAGCGTTTCAAAAAAACGGAAAATGAACCGGCATAAACTAGCACAAAAACCAAGAACCCAAAAAAATTTCATGTTTATTTTTCAATAAAAGTATTTGAAACAATTATTTTGTACCTATGATGAACTACAAGGTAGTTTTATTTGACTTTTCAAGAAATTGAGCAAGTCAGAAAATGAATTAGTCCAGGAGATGAATGAGTCCCCCTCACCATTAAAACACAAAAAATTTTTCATCTTGAAGGACTAGTGAACCTTTTTGCCCAAAAAACCCAGTGAACGAAACTAGCAGGTTTCGTTCAGTGGGGTATCCACTAGCAGGTTTCGCAACTACCCGTGGTGAAGTGAAAATGTTGACCGTTTTTGAACACAGAAGGTCAAATTAAACACAGCTGCGAAAAAAGTTCAAGTAAAGGCTCTAAAGTTAGCCAAGAGAAAATATGAACAACTTTTAAAATACCGAATACTAAGGGATTCGAATTTGGAAATCTAGGCCAACCCTAATTTTAGCCACTTGGTAAGGGCGCCTTGACTTATATGTTCACGCTTTCCAAATGCATTTTAGCTATCGGGCTTCAAAGAATGCGCTTCCTTAAAGCATAAAGCCAAATCATCTGCTGTGTAATTAACGCATAAAAGTTGCATGAAACTTTGTATCAAATTGTGTTATTTCCCCCCAAAACATGGACTGACCGTAAAGCTCGCTTCAAAAAAGCAATACATTAGTTGAAAAACATTTAGGAAGTTGGACTGGAAAAACCCCCCATTTCTAATCCGCTGCGAGTCCAGAAATGTTCAAGCTAGGTTTTCTCGACACTAAGAGCACGTTTGGGAAATATCTTTTTGGAATCCAATTGACTACCAAAAACTTCAATATAACACAACTCTCGATCATGCACAACCTTGCTTTGAAAAACCGACAATCGCGTAAGCCATCATTGGTCATAGCTCCTTCCCAAAAGCGGTTGAAACAATCAAATTTACAATTATTGAGGATCGTGATGCTGGACACTGTTAAGAGGTATTAAATTGTAACTGATTATATTCAAAAGAAGATTGTAGGGATCAAAATTTAAATCTAATAAATGAAACAATCAATCGGAAAATTACAAATGTACAATTCTGTTAAATTTATTCAATGATTTACAAATTAAACTGAGGAAAATTAGTTTAGCCTGAAGTTTGCGCTTAAACAGAGGACTCAAAATCAAAAATAAAAAAGACAAAAATGGGACGCAATTTGCTCCGCATAACTTCTTGTCGCTGTAAATGGCACAAGGCTGGCAGTTCCAGGACAAATTTTGGGCTTCCGAAGTGATAAAATTGAGGATATGTGAATAAGAGGGATGAATTTTTATTAGTTGTGACGTGAGATTCCACTGATATGTACAGCTTGAGTGAGTGTCGTTGACATTTGTTGTTTCAGCCGAAGAAACTAGGCGCTGCCATTGCGGAGGTGATGATTTCCGAACTTGAAAGCATTCACGACAGCGATGGCGTTCATCGGAGTCTGAAAAAAAGTCGTCAAGAAAGAAGGAATTTGAAGCTCGTTAAACAAAAAGATCTATAGACTGAGTTAAGGACAGAACGTTTCGATTACGGTTTGAAATCGATTTTCTGAAGAAAAAATTTTCGGAAATCTTTGCTGAATAACGTTTTTTTAAAAAGCAAAATGTAGAAAAAATTATTACACCATACTAAGCGAACCGCTAATTATAATAAGGTTTAATCAATGGCACTTAACACACAAATCAAGTTTTTCTCAGCACAAAGCGATACGCTCAAAAACAGCGGGAATTACGCGGTCATTCAGATACAAAATGGATCAGCCATTTTCGAGATCATAAATCGTGAATTATTAGAGCTTACTTTTAATCTGCGTTTGGAGTTGAATAGACGTAGTTTGTTTGTAACGTCATGCAGCTCCTTGGTGGACTTCGTCTCGCCCACTATCCAGGGGTGATTCACAGCTGCGTTCACAGACAGTCTCTTGGCCGGATCCACAACTAACATCTTACGCACTAAATCCTACAAACAAAATACTCGATGCTGCAAACCTTGAAGAAATGCCCGAAAAAAATCACCCATTTTTCCAAACACAAATAATTAGTGATCCAAATATCGAAAAATCGAGTTTTCATGCTACGCAAAAGAAGACACTAAAATAAAAGTGGTACGCGGTTGGGTGAGATAATATAATGAAGCCCTTTTAGTCGTGATCAAACTGCTACAAAAATTTTTCAGGAAAGTTTCCCTAGCGTCGAGATAAACTGCCTCTATTTCTTTCAATTTTTTGTTCTAACCAACGATTACTAATTACCAAGCATATTTCGCATATTAAATCATAGCTGCCGGAGTGTTCATCATGACGAAGCCCAAGGACGATTATTTCGAACAATAGTTTACTCAAGTTAGTTTCTATAAAATTTACAGAGGATTTATTATTTATTAGACAAGGCAGCAAAAACAAAGGCTGGGGCCAAAAAAGCCAAGAAAAGCCTAAGGCTTGGGGGAAAAAATTTAATTCTGGCTGCAAAAAAGGTCCATTCGAGTAAAAAAAATAATCAAACACAATTTGATTACTCAAATATGGTATCACTAGAACGGTCTAAATGATCCTTGAAAGCATATTTTACTTTAATAAAAAATACCTATCAGAATGCCTTCAAACCAACATTCTATACTAAGATAGAACGCAAATTTTCAAACAATTCCATTCCCTTGACTAATGAAATGATTGACTAGCTACTCCGTCCTGCAATAAACAGTCCGATATAAAACAGTCCCATACAAAACAGTAAACAAAAACAGTCCAATCGATCGAATGAAAATTATTCCAGAGCTGATAAGAATATATCTCTCGGTTTAAAAAACATTTTGGTTCTAAAGAAAACGGATGATAATAGGTAAATAACAACAGCGTCCACTCATTAAATGCATGATTCGGAAAACAAAAGAACACAAACTTTAAAATGGACTTTTTTTAATCAAGTCAAAAACAGACATGTAGCTTAAATTGTTTCATTTGCGAACACTTGGCACCAATCAATCACAACAATAACCATTTACTATCTATGAAAATTAAACTAATTTACAAAAACTGAAAATTTTTAAATGGTATTCTTATATTAAACGCCGAACACTTTCGGATAACTTCCTTTCCTGGTGCTGCACAAGAAGCAGCTGCAATGGACGTGTGCGTATGAAAGATGAATTTGTTGAGATTGTTACAGATAACTGCCACTTACCCAATTGGCTGATATCGAAACACGTAAGCTCAGAAAAACGCAAAGATCGAGCAGCAGTTTCAAATGTAACAACACGGTAGACTTTTTTTGAGCCTTGCTTGACATGAACCGAACAACAGCTCTTCATTCACCAAGAACTAGCTGTAAATAGAGCTCATCGCGAAAAAAAGAACTAGATTCACTGACTGAATTACTCACGATGAGGAGCAGTGCTAGGCTAGACATACACTATCACATGGTCGGTTGTGCGTTTTAAAACTTTCGACTGCTATCCTTAGGTGAACTACCAATTTTGTAAACAACACATTTCGGTTGAAGGATGCCTTTATACCCTTTCTTTACGCTCTGCTTTCGGATAAAAATGGTTCATAGTATTGTCGCTTCCGTTAAAGTTGAGCCCCAACGACACTTTACCACTGTTTTTAAGTCGCTCTGTGAAACTCAAAAACTGCTATCCATTAGAGCGGTCAAAAAGAGTTTCTTTCACAGAGTCTGGCTTTAAATTTCTGAGCTTATTCGAATACTTCTCTCAAAAGCATTTCTTCACCTAGAAGACGTCCCCGCTGTGTTACAGCTTTTTCAGGGTACAGCATTTGAAGAAAGCCAATGGACCTTAAATTATTTCGAGGACAGAAGTATTGGTATTTCGAGGACAGAAGTATTGGAAGCAGCCGAAATTTGACAAAGAGCAGATTTGACAAAGAGTTGCTAACAATGAGTGAAAAACAATCAACCCCTCATCAACAAAATTTTCCCAAAGTCATCAAAGACGAACAAAAATACGAATATATATTTTTTAAATGTGCAGAGGACAAAAAGTAGCCAGACTCAAAAAATTCAAATATCATTAACTCGACCAAATCTTAATCACTATGACTCAATCATTTGAACCCAGTGAAAATATTAAATTATAACTTACGTTCATTTTGTTTTCAATCTTTGAACTTATTCTTCATTGCCACACAAAAAAGAACAAATCTCCGAGCTCAATCATTTTCCTTGATTTTTTCAATCTGACTTTTCAAAAATACATCACCTTGAAGCACTTTGAATTACACGAAACTTCTGGATATGAAACTTTGATTAAATTAACCTAATAAAACTTCGCAAACACTAGCGAGTTCATGCAAAAAAAGCAGCTCTATGAAGTGAAAAAAGTAAAAACAAACATCGAATCATGAAATTTGGCTAAGTCTCGACATCGATCTGCGACCTAGAATATATGAGTCTCACACACTAGCCACGCATGCGTTAAAAAATCACAAATGCTTCCCACAAAGCAGAGAACAGATGCTATGAAATTTCCAATGCTACAGATCGTGATTAAAGAAAAATTGCCGCCAAATAACTGCAAACTTCCAATGAACACTTCTTTTAGCGAGTTAAGTTGAAAAAAAAAGGTTTATACTAATAGTACGCTCTAAAGCTGGCTAGTGTAAACAGCAAAAAAAATATATGAGCGTGACCAATTTTTGAGACTTTTTCCAAAATGAAATTTGAAAAAAAACCTGACCTAAATACAGAGGTGGAACTGTCTGGGTCAGGGCCTAGTTTTTGTTATTTACATATCTTTCGAGCCATTTTCGGCCCTATGCCTAATCAGTAGGACAAATTTTATTTTGTAAAACTTTGCTATCAAGCTGCACAAAACGGGTATACCGCGGGAATCAATCCTACGACCTCTCGATTACTAGCAAGCAAAATGAATTTGCTGATTGATAGTTGGAAAAAATTGTAATGTTTTTTTTTCAGAAATTCTTTTTTTTTCAGAAAAAAAAATTTTCAGGCTATACAGAAAAATTTCGGGCTGAGTCGAGCCGGTTTTTTTGTCGTTAATTTCTTGGGGCTGCCTCATTGTTAACAACTGGTTTGGGCCCCGAGACTTTGTCTCTACTCCACCTCTGCCTAAATAAAGGTTTTGAATTGGTTTTTTGACAAAAATCAAATACACTTGACCTAAATAAGTAAAATTCACCTCGTAAATTTACATTTACAAAAACATGATACGTGGTTCTTTAGTACCTTAGCAGATTCTGAAATTTCGTCCCACTCGGGAGCATGGAACTCATAGGCGCCATTGAGGATCTTCTTGAACATCACTTTGTCATCGTCCGATTCGTCACTGAACGGCTCATAGCCACACAATCTGCAACACCAACAAAACAGTTTGTCACAAGCTTTCTGGTCGACTTTTTCAAAATTTGTTTCGGAATCTATTGCTGTATGATACCACTTTTTCATGCGGCCTCAAACGCAAAAACACTTCATCATTGTCAATAAAGACATCAGAAGATATGAACGATGGATGAACAGATATGATTTATTTCCAACATTACAGCGAGCGGCAAATGAATGTTATCAACCGAGCAAAGGTATCCACGCGTTCAAAAAACCGTTGAATTAGAGTTCTAGACAATTAAAGGTGCCGAACTCTGTTTTACAAAATTGGCAACAAACTTTATATTTGTTGACTTTTAAAATTAAAAATTAAAAGTGGGGGGACCTCCCCTCTTCAGGAATTTGACCCCTGCCGACCCAAATCCTAGATCCGCCCCTGTTTCTATCGTTTATCGTCATCAGTGTCCCGGACGCAAATCTAACATTTGTTATAAAAATTCTTGCCAATTTTCAAGTTCTCAGCATAGTTATTCAGAATGTTCGGGACTCTCTGATATCAACGGGATTGGAACTAACTAGGCTTGAGTTATTCTCATTGTCTGTAAAACGTGAACTGTCTGGGCACCTTTTCGGAAGGTTTTGACTGATTTTCGGCATACTTGACATTTTTCAGTCAAAACTTCCAGTAAAGGTACCCAGAACGTTCACTTTTGACATATTACGAGAATAAATTACGCCTACTTAGTTTCATTTATGTCAAAGATTTTTTGCCAAGGCCAATTAGTTGAACTTACAAGATGTAGAGAATGACTCCCGCTGACCATACGTCTATCTTCTCGTCATAGCCGACACTACACAGGATCTCGGGAGCTAAGCAAAACAAAAAATATATAAAACATTAATAGCCGCTTGCTACAAACCACATAACTTTACCAAAAATTTAGGTGATAATTTTAGGTTAGAAATCTTTATGGTCCGGCGGCGAGCGTTAAATACCAATAAAAACGAAATAGGTCTGACAATTGAAAATTAGTCTGCAATCCGATTTTTTTATATTAGTTTTTCTCGGCACAGGGACAACTTTTTTGATCTTTCGGGAACCTAGTAACGGCCAATGGGGCTTTAAGAGGATACCACACTACCCCTGTGAGCTCTCTTTGAGGTAATTAAAATCCGTCAGGAAAAACACCGTTCTCCATATTTTCCTTCCATCTCACGAAGAAGTCGGAACAAAATCCAAGACATTTGACCTTTCTGCAATCAATTGTAGTTTCAATTCATTCAATTGTTGATTCTATCTTTTTAACCACAGCCAGCTTAGTTTTCGGATTTATTATGATTAAAAATCTTATCAAGATTAAATTGCATCGTTTCACTTTTGCCACCTTGCTTCTACAGCTCAATATCGCTATTTTGCACATGAAGTCAATTTAAAAGCATTACTAACCAATTTACCAAATATATTACAGATATCACCATACCTATCGAAAACAGTTAATTAAAACAAAATTTATTGGAAAGTACAAAAATTATGTAAAGCGATCTCTACCTTAGATATCCAAGACTAGCATTTGCCTTCAATCAACGAATGCAAGCATCAAATAAGTGTTACTAACAAAAGTTTTAATTTACAAAACAATTATTATCCATTTTTAGCTCAAAAATGATTTTTAATACCAGGCATAGACACGATTAAGAATGATGCAATATGGGATAATTAATTAAAAATGACAAGGCATATGAACTTAATAAACGTAATGAAAGAAAATAGATTGACTGTTGACTGCTGGGCATGATGATTAGGAGAGAGAGGCGGAGGAGGACTTACTTTTGGTGAGAAACATTCATACTGACATTGGGATATCTAGTACAAAAGGAAAAGTCACATTCAATGACATTAGCTAAATCCAAATAGCTTTCCATTAACTTCTGCTTCAAACATTACCCTAAAAGTGCTCCAGTGAAATAAAAAAGAATATCTCTAATCTTACATCCACTTGCTATCCCTATAGTTTTAATTTTTACCACTTTATTTTTTAAGACTTCGCAGCTTCATATTAGGAAAAAAAAGAGTTTAAAGAGTTTTTCGATGTAGCCAAGTTTTTCAACTCAAACATAATGCTTACCGCAGTATCCCGGGGTTCCACAGATGGTGTACATTTTATGCGAGCCTTCTTTCATAATTGTTCCGAGCCCGAAATCAGCTAAAGCAAACAAATAAAAAAACCGCTAACAGAGCTGAGACCATTACAATTGTCGAGCTATTTAGTAAAATGTTTTCACTTTTATTCAATACAACTATTCATTTTAAGTTACCAGCTTAAATACAAACGTATAAAGTAAAATCCCATAATGTTCTGACTGCCCTCTTATATTGATCAGAAGCTTTTTGATTGACATTTTTTTAATGTTCGAATAAAAAAATAGAAAATTTGACTATTTTTTCAAACTTTTATCCCGACACATGCTATGTTTGTTCAGTACAAAGTGGAAAATTTTGCGTCCACTTACTTATTATTAAGAGCAAATTGCCTGCCCTAGTTCAATTCCGAAGAACTCAATTTTCCGCTGACAGGACAAAATATATCGCGCTCTAACCATCCCAATTTGAATTATAGTCGTTAAAATAGTCCCAAATTCAAAATATTAAAACTTAGTTGACCACACTTTAATCATTACTAGGCAAAAATCTATTTTTAATTTTCAGCCCTCGGCATCAATATCTTTCAGACCATAGCCACTCGAAGATTGGAAAAGAGTAATGGACGCAAGTAAACATAAAACAAGACTGCTCGTATCAGGGCGAAGCCCTGAATGTTCCGGCTGCCTTTTAAGGTTTATGGAGCAGCAGTAATAACATAAAAAATTAAAAGAAATAAAATGAAATGAAAATTTTTTTTTCTAAAATTTGAAATTTTTTTATGAAAATCATCCCCCCACACGCCATATAAAGTACAAAAAGATAGATTTCGTTCCTTGTAACAAATCAATTATGGCACATAAGCTTCGTTCAACCAATTTAGAACGATTTAGAAGACGGATTAAATCTCCGCTTACGCGTTAATAGCGCGAATTATCGCGCGTTAATTGTCCCAAATTGGTCAAAATTGCCAAAATGGCAATCTTTAAACCCTCATAACTTTACGAAAAATGATCACAGGTGAAATATCTTTTCAAATTTAGGCTCAGGATAACAATACCTTTTGAATGATAAAAAAAAATTCCATCAAAAATGGCTAGTTAAAAAGTCGAAATTTGTCTGAAGAAAAAAAAACCCACCCCGAGCACAAATATTCCGTTACTTTCGTATCGAAAGTCGGAACAAAAAACACTGACATTGTTGAAAAAATCTCAACTTTCGAATTTTTAAGCTCTTTGAATTTCTAGAAAGATTTATGATTGGCGCTTTTTTGATTAGATTAACCCAGCTTGTGAAAACTGATACAACAGGTAAAGTTTTATTCCACTGAGAATCTGAAAAATTAAATTCCACTTTCGAAACTAGAAATCGTTCACGAATTTTTGCGCCATTTCTACATTCGTATTTGAAGAGAGCTTTTTACGTCACTTTCACAAGATGAAAATCAATTGAACCCAAAAAGTGCATATACAACTAAGAGCATTCATCAATGCATCAATATGTATGAATGCACATCTGTAGTTATTAGAGACTTCTTAGACTTTTTACTGGAAAAAAAAGCAAAAAAAATCAGCATGACCTATATAAGAGTCTTCACTACGTTCATTACTCTTAGTAATGAGCACAAATATTCAGTTACATTTCTTCGAAATTCGGAATAAGAACAGACAATACGGCAAACTTACCAATTTTCAAAGGCGATTCTTCAGACTCGTTTTCATACAGAAGGTTCTCCGGCTTCAAGTCTCTGTGCACAATTCCTTTGTCATGTATATGCTGAAATTAAACCAAAAATTTAATTCGAGATGAAAACACGTTTAGGATTCAGCAGAGAGTGAAAATTGCATTTACAGAGGGTACATATCATTGATGCGTTTCTTAGAAAACTTGAACGCAATTCTTTTTTAATAGAAGGCACAAAAAACAAGAAGACACTTTTCGTAGATTTGACATTTTACGCTATTGTAGGCATCGCAAAATTTTTTTATTCAATCTTCTAATTCCAAAATGTCATTTCAAACACAGAAGTCAAGCTGCACTAAGCAAACAATTAAGCAATAACCGGAGAAAAGGGTTAAGGAATCAAGAAAAAAATAGATACGCCTTAAATGAAAGCAAAACCAACAGACAGTTGGAAAAGAGTCAATGAACGAAAGGAAACAGAAAGAAAACTGACTTATTTTGTAAAAAAAAATTTAAATTTCAAGGTAAAAAATATATGGCCTTACAGCTTCTTGAATTTCAAGAACAATTTTTGATTGAGAGCTTTTTGATAAAATGACTCAATTTGAGAAAACTGGATCGCTGGGAGGGAAACCTGAAAAATAACAAATAAACATCCACGCACGAAATTGGAATTCGAACACGTCTTTCGTGACTTGTACACTTTTGCTGTTCTATAATGGAGTTTGTCTTCCTTTTAAGAAAGGAAATGAACTTGTTTTAAAAATTCAAATTGGAAACTGCAAAAAAAGAGCGTGAACATAATTTAAGACTTTTCCGGGAAAAAAAAACAAAAATCATCACGACCTATATAAAGGTCTTCATTACGTTCATCGACTTTTAATGAGCCCGGAAAAGTACCTTGTAGCAGTGGGTTTCTATCTAGCTACCAACCGCTTCCCAGTAAATCATTTACACGAGACCACTAAGGTCTAACTATAATTATTTACCAATTTGATAGCAAATGTAAATGTAGTGGAACATTCTGTGCTACTTGCACAGCAACCGATTACCTTTTTAAAAATCAGGTCTGTCTCGAGAAGTGGGATAATATTGAAGATTTTACACCAGCATTTATATCATGCAGGCTTTCAACAGAACTAACCTGAAGACCGAGAAGAACCTCCTTGATGCATTCGGCCGCGTCATGCTCAGAGTAGCACGTCTTCTCCACAATTCTAAAAGATAGCTATAGCTACAAAAATCGGCTTTGCAGAACAATAATAATGAGCCCTTGGCTACTTATTTTTTATTAGTGGTAACAAAAATGTTAGCAAACTTGGGCGATACTGAATGTCTTAATCATAAAATGGTGCTTTTTATGTTGATTAGATTTAATTATATTGATTTTGGTCCGAGAACTCTCGGGGAATGGAAAGAAACTATGGGAAAGTTTTCAAGCTAAAATTGATTACCCTGGATAAATCTCGGAGATATCAAAAGTGGCATCAATTAAAGCACTTTGAGTAGTGATTCATATTTAATAAATTTAGCCAACAGTCAGTTGGAAGACTATCAACAAGTTACTCGCCGATAAAATATCATAATCAAAGCTTTTTGCTTTCAGAATCTTATACACAGAGATGAAGCAGAGATTCGCACCTTTTGCGATGCTCTATAAAAAAAAGAATGGCAGAGGTAATCAAAAGTCACCAGTCAAAACGCAATAAACCACCCAAAATTTTCGTACGTCTCAGAAAACTCAAAATTTCGAAATTTTATGTCATCTCCGAAGCACACAAAAATACTTTGACCGATTTTGTTTCTCAAACAACAGAATAAACGGCAACCAAAACAATATAACAAAATTAAACCGATTAAATCTAAAAATCCTTCTATGTGAAACACACAAAACTATGAAACAGTTACCTGCAATATTATAAATATTGAAATATGGTATTCTTCAATTTTTAAACAAGCTAACATAACACAAAAAGTGCGTGCTGATGAAACTAAGCGGAAAATTTAGGCCGATACACCATAGAGCGAAATTTGATTTTAGAAAGCAAAATTTAAGGAGAAACTTTTGGATTTTTCGAAAATATTTTAGCGATATTTCAAAAAATCCATGTGACTTTACCTTGAACCTAGTAACAACAAAGTTTGTCACATCTTAACACAATTAAGACACTAAGTGGCTAGACACCAAATACAAAGCAAAAGACAAAAAATGAACAAAAAGCCATGCAGATAAAGAAATATATTTTCCCGTTCTTTCGTTACTTATAGAAACGTTTCGTAATTAATAAACAAAAACCAAACAAATTTACACCGCTCAAAATTGAGTTTCGAAAACTGTATAGAACGTAAGAAACACAAAAAATAACAAGAAAAATAGCGATTAACAAGAATCCTTGACATTTTCAAACGTTGAAAAACAAAGCATATAATTAATGTTTATTTCTGAGCGCTTTCGCACATTGTGTGCATCATCAGAGAAACTATCATCTGAATAGGTCGTCATTATTGCGAAAAAGTTAACAAAAAACAAAAAAGCAAAACAACTGCACTAGTATATGATTAAATACAAATCTCGCCGATATAAACCGGAACAAAGACTATTTTCTCTTTTGAAAACAATTAAAGCAAAATTTTAAGGAAAGATTATGAGTTTTCCGTTTAATTTTTTCTGATCTGAAAGCAATTGGAGATTTCTAAACCCGAGCCTATTCCTTAAAAACGTTACCGTTGCCAGTAATATAGGCTACACAGCATTTAATCCGACATAGAAAAACAGTTGACAAAAAAACTGATTATAAGACTATATTAAGTAAATTGTACATACACCATGATTTCGATTGCCTTCACCAAAAAAGATACGATGATTAAACCATTCCACAAAATAAACAGCGAGTAAACTTTTGACAAAAAAACAAATTATTGAAAAAAACTGATACTTTTTAAAGAGCGTTCGGTTAGTTGAACTTAAGCTTTTCCAAAAATATTGTCCAATTTGAATCAGTTTAATTTTGATAAAATTGACTAAAATTAATAGAAAAAAAAACATTAAGTAAACAAGCCGAGAAACGAAAGGTCGACATCCAATTAGATGAAAATGAGCCAAAACTTTTTGGAAGAAAAATCTTATTTTCAAGAAATTGCATGTACCGCATACAGAACAAAAACAAAGCCCTACATATGCCATGACACTT